TTTTTTTTCTCGCTCAAGAAGCTAGACTTTTGGTATTATAATTGCGCAAGTTTGTGTTTTCACTATGCAACTAAATCCAAAGGGCGCACAAAAAACATGAAATTCACGAATTAAATAGCTCTCAGGGTTGTTTAAACCGATGACCGTATCAGGAAGTCTTCTGAAAAATTGATGTTTTCTGCCCATGTCAATTTTTTGTGGCTTTACTTTTCCTGGAAGAAATATGCATAGAAACAAGAAAAACAAACAAGTGAGTGCTCAAAGAACACCTCATGACCTTCGAAGTCTGTTTTTTCTTCAATTGTGCTTTGGAAACATTTTAATTTAGGAAGATGTGACGTTTTTCCATATCATTGATATTACCCTTATTTGCTGTTTTCCCTTATAAAACTTCTTTTCTGATAGCGTCCAGTTCAAAATTGCACCTGCTTTTCTTATCCTCTCTGGACGGTCGGATTTATGTTGTTTTTTCTTGCTAATTTCATACTACGTAATGTATGTATGATACTATATTTTTGTGCAACTTCAGGGTTCGTGAAAAGCTTAATGCTTTACTAGAAAAGGGTTCGGCGGGAGGTTCCACAAAGCTATCCATAAATGATTTCATTGTCAAGGTGATTTCTTTTTCATTTAATCTTTTCTTGCTCTCGTTTTTCAAAGCACTTGGGGTGTCTTCCTATTTCTTTTGTTTCTTGTGCGAAAATTTGGATGACTTCTATGGGTAGTTTTGTAGGCATCTGCATTGGCTTGCCTTCGTGTACCTGAGGCCAATAGTTTCTGGATGGATACTTTTATTCGCCAGAATAACAATGTTGATGTTAGCGTGGCTGTGAGTACACCATCGGGTTTGATCACTCCGATCATTTTCAATGCTCATGCAAAGGTTGGCCCCTTTCTAGAATTCACAATTTTCTGATCAAGATTTTCTTGTCTAGGGTCTTGCCACCATCTCCAGCGAAGTGAAGGAGCTGGCAGCTCGTGCAAAGGAGGGCAAGCTTCAGCCACAGGAGTTTCAGGTAGAGACATTAGTCCCCTACAGTTTTTTTCCAACTTTTTCTTTTCCGATCAAGATTTATATATTGTAGTCTTATTAGAATCTAAGTAGAGGAATTCATTTCTAGGGCGGTACTTTCACTGTTTCGAATCTCGGCATGTTTGGTAGCGTCACCGATTTTACGGCTATAATTAATCCTCCCCAGTCATGTATTCTGGCTATTGGTGGAGCAGAGACGAAGATGGTTCCATGCGAAGAAAATGGGCGAGTGGCTAATTTTTTTTATCTATTCACTTTGCTAATCTAATGGGTGATTCATCCAATTGCCGTTGTGAAATAAGATCTGGTTAACTCCAAATGCGGTGTCAACTCTTCTTATATGTTTATTTGGTTTCCATTTATTCCCACGTTCATACTTCTACTCTTCTCCTTTTGTTATTTTTGCGTTCTTAGTTGACTAATTTGAATTCTTCAGCTAGGGTTTAGCTTTTTCTGCTCAAACTTGTGTATTCTCGTTCAGTTTTTCATTTCCAGATATCGCAGCGTCAAGGTGATGAAAGTTACCTTGTCGTGCGATCACCGTGTCGTTGATGGAGCTGTGGGAGCCGTCTGGTTGCGTCATTTCAAAGAATTCCTGGAGAAGCCACACACGATGCTTCTTTAGAGCAAAGCCGTGACATACACCTAGTCATTAGTCGTTAGGGCATTCTTTCTGTGGGTCGTAACATCAGACTAAGCGAG